TCGGTTTACGCCGACAACAATGGCCGTTTTACCCGCGCGCTTCGGCGACGGCGATAGGGGCACGCTGTGTTAACAAAAAACAGAGAAAGTCGCAAAGATAACAAACGCGATTTCGGTAATTTTGCCGAGAAAAATCATAGCAATCGCCCGTATCTGTTGCCGACAGTAGTAATTGATAAAAAGAAACAACTTTAGATTTCATTTACTCACTCCGTTTATGTCTGTGCTGTGATAAGACCGACGATGACGGTAGGTAGCGGTTATATACAATAGCAGTTTGTTTTTAATTAGTAAAACTAAAATGCAATTTGTTACTATGATGGCCATATTGTCACTTATCGGATAATCTTCATGAAAAAAGTAAATTAAATTCTAATTATTTTATTCATACATTTATTTAACCCACCCAGTTGAGGAATAATGTAATTACTTTAGGTTTTTTTTTAACCCGTTTTACCTAAACGCGTTTTATTAAATTTACAGCAGAGAAGTGTACTCTCTGATTTTTATATGCTCCGATTCCGTTGATTTAATTTTCCGGTCGCAATCACTGTAATGTAATTATTTAATTAATTTGCTCTGTCGAATTGTTCCTTTTTTTTTTTTTGCATTCTCTCCGTGCACTCGTATGTATGTGTTTAAGAACGGTATTATTAGGATTTTCGGAAGCTAATCGGTCTTTGGGTAAGACTACATTGTCGGCTGACAAGTCGTTGTCGCCGTTTGCAACCAACTTTTTCCCAAATGAGCATCCCGAGAGAACGCATCGTTGCGGTCACCAGCTCATACATATTCATCGACCCTCGGCCTACCATATAGTACAACATGTATTTAGTGAAATCCACGTGCAAGCAGACTTTGCCTGTTTTATTCTCCAGTGTGTTTCCTGCGTATATAACATTATGTAAAACTTCTAGGCCGCGCTGGGTCGCTGTATATATACACGGCCGTGGGATTAAGTACCGTCGAACTAGGTTGGAGACCGCGACGGGCTTGTGTGCTGAAAGGCGAGTGTTTGGGAAACAACTTATACCACCAGGGCTCTGCGCTCGGGGACCCCGTTCGAATTTTAGCAATTTGGTTAGAGCGCAAACAGTAGGTACACAGGTAGCAGCCATTCGCCAGTACTTGTATAGGTAAGCTAATATAACATGTACTCAAACTCGAGGTGTTTACCGAAAACTCGTGAAATTGAATTAATTTTAAACTTGTTCGCCAAACTGTTCATTTTATAGCTCGCAAAGTCATTGGTTGTTAATTTGTGCGCTCCGGCATTAGTGATGTGTTGAAACAATAAAATAACGTCTTATGGTGTTGTTTTGTTTATTTAACGAGCGTATAAGGATGTATGGTATAAGTCGAGGCGCTACTCGGTTAGCAACGTGTTATGCTATGCCCATAATATGATTTAAGCTTCTGGAAATAAAAGACATACCAGTTATAACCAAACTCGCATTAACCACGGCTGCCAACTAATGAATAAACAATTTCTGGCTAATTATAGTTTATTTCAATATTAAATAATTCTAAAAACTTACTTTTATAAATGATAATTGCAAAGAACTGTCAGTCTAGATTAAAATTTTCCTAAAGCTTAATGTTTAGTTAGATTGTACAAAATAAGATGACAGTCAATTATAGCGAATTAAGTAATGCCTCTAATGAGGGTTTAGGATTTCGGTAAAATTAGGTTTTAATATATTATTACAAAACACAGTTGCAATCATTTATAAATGTATACATTTATAAATTAAAGTTATTAATTAATAGTTTATTCCATAGAATACACTATGGCTGACCCCATGTAATTGTGAGTGTAAGGCGAAGATGATGAATAAGAAGAAGAGATCATAGAATACGCCTTGTGATTCCTCTGGTCTGACGGAGAGCTTAAATATTGTGACTTTTCTCCATTAAAACTGTAACTATCATCGGTAAAGCGTTATTATATTACTCGATGCGAGTGTCTTATGATGGTTTCACTTCACACTTATTGCACTAAAAAAGAGCTCAAGTGTTCGTTGTGTGGCTATTGTTGGGACGGTGTACGGTTTCAAACTCGTGTGTTCACTTGAGATGTGTGCTGATACGACAGCGGAACACGTCATAATATAACAATAATATTGTGTATGCTGTGTGTGTGCAGCTGACGCTTTGCACAACGGCTGAGTATACTTATACTATGCTCCCTTGTTACTACATTTGACGAATCGCTGGCGTACAATATTAATTGAATTTAAAACGACCGTTCACTATAACTGCTGAATTAATTTCTTACTCCGAATGACGCGAATAATGCGTTTCCATACGAATATTATTATTATAAATTGAACACATAACGTGTATAATATCATTTGAAACGTGTATATATATATATATATAATCCGGTACAAGTCGTGCTTTATGTCTTGAGCGATTTAAGACACAAATATAATATAATAATATAGTCATACTGTAATAATAGTTAATTTATCAACGATTTAAAAAAAACAAAAAGACAAAATATATAGGTAAAAGATTAAAAAATAATACAAATGATATAGTCTTACATCAGAACAACTAACATTTTAGAAAATATCTAGTTTCAAAAATGAACACAAAAATAAATTAGATCAAGACAGCATAAATTTGTATGTATTTGCTTTTAAATTTATCATGTAGTCTAGTGTTTAAAACACAGCGTTTGAAATGTTCTAAATTATTATTAATTAGATTCGATATTGTTTAGGTGCCATTTATTCCAATGTTTTAGATTTACATTAAAAGTATTAAAAATGTCTTTGTACGAAAAGCATTTGAAAATTGCCCTTAAAATAGCTTTACATTTATTTAGATTAAAAACAAATATACCCGCTTTTGTAAATTTGTTGTCCCTTCTGTGCTCGAAGCACTCCAAAACTAAAAACTAAAATATATTTTTTATGTTAATGTGATATGTATTATGTACCTACTGCTAAGTAAAAAATTATAATAATGGATTGCTTTGTTTTTCGTTTTCTTTTTTTATGTTTCATGCGCAAAGTAAATTTAATTAAATACAATTCTGTGATTATTTTCATGTTGTAATAATTTTTACCCTGTTTCGCGAAATTAGTTTTACCGAAAATAACTTAGTAAATTACATTCACAAACTTCATTACCAGACGTAACTTTAAATTGTTTTTTATTATTATTATTTTTTGTTTTTTTAAAGACTTTCAATTACATAATATTTTCATTTCAACCCATTCAAAGGTTTTTGGTAATTCGAAAAAGCGGTTATGCGGCGCGGGGGGTCGTCGCCCAACCCTCGTAATTCGATTTCCATTCTTTTGCCGGTGTTAAAATATTATTATTGTAATCCGCAAATCAGTCTAAATATTACAACACACACAAACGTGTAGGGAATAACGCGGAACATGGTCGACAGTTTTCTTTTGAACTCTTAACACGCGTGAAACGCAATAATATATATTGTGTATGCAGCTTTTTACATAATATCATTATTATTAGCATTATTGCTGGTATGTAATATGCTTTGAAACACACTGCAATAATCGCCTAACTAACCGCGTTCCACGGCCGCAGTGGAAACTACACCATAGATATGTATTATTTGTATCAGATATGATAGATATATATATATTAGATATGGAACAGAACGCGTCTCTTGAATACAAATCCGACGGGCGATAAATGTGTTAGTTTTTGTTCTTGGGCGCGCAGGAAGTTCTGTTAGGGTAGGTGTACACTATATAGGTATGTACACTTTGAAATCATGTCAATATAATAATAATAGTAATAATAATACGCAGAGAAAAATATATTAGGTATCCGTCCGAAATGCATTATCTCGCCGTCGGGTGAATATTAAATCCATCGTTTGCCGGTGCGTGGAAACTTTAAAAAAGGGGTCGCTATCGGACCGGGACCACGCAGAAAGTTTTTTATTTTTTCTATACACGATAAGAAGAAACACTGACTCGCCACATGCTAGTGCGCGTTGCAGTCTCTGCGGTGTCGTGCGATGGGCCTTTTTGTTGCTTTTGTTGGCGAGGGGACAATTAAAAGGTCAACGGGTTTAATGGTTCTTTCCGAAGTGTGTTTTCCCAGAGAAATGCATTTGCGGCAGCGCCGAACACGGTGTTCGTAGGCAGGCCGCTCTCGGCTATGGACCACCATAATTTAGGCATTATTATTATTATTATTGTATGAACGTGTAGCGGTACAACCTAGCCTACCCAGTGCGAGAATATAATAATATAACGTGTGCTTTGTGACTATCATTAACCGCCACTGAGCTGATTGTCGGATTTCGTCCATTGTTTCAACCCACAGTAGTCGTTTCCGTACACCTGTTTTAATAGCTGTATTATTCGCCAAGTACGTTATTCGACATGAAAACAAACAAAACTTTACTTTTTATAATAATATATACACTGAAGATTAAACAAGAAAATAAGTTCCAAGAGTCAAAAGTGACTAACCACGGTTATTAAAACAAAGAAGTTGTATAGTTAAGTAAACCCAACATTTTTTGTTAGTATAATAATCCGGACAGAAATTCCATGTCCTCCATTAAATGTTGGTTTATTAGAAGTTCATAATGGTATTTGAATGGATAGAAAACAACCTTAAGGAAACTAAAGTTATTTTAAAGGAACGAGTAAGTAATTACCATCGATTTTTTACTTGTCGTGCTTACCATATTGGGGTAACTATATTTTACTACTTGCTTCTTTGAACTTTTATAATCTGTTCTCGTATGTTTAGATGTGCTTTATATGTTAGGTTTGAAATGGGTTAATAAATAGTTCAGCTAAATAGGTAAAAATAGGCGATATGCTGTACGGACAATTGTCACAATACTTTAAGCATTTTAAAAGCAAAGTCAACTAATGGGCCCTGTAAACGGTGCCACACAAAACTGATGTCGATTATAAATAATTGTATAAATAACATCAGCAGTATATTTTTATCCGATAACAAGAAAAGTGTTAAAAAACGATTATGTTTTCCAGGAGAATGTCGCTCAGCGTTGGGAATGGAAGGCAGCAAAATTCCAGATCACAAGATTACAGCCAGTTCTTCGTACGAAGTCAAATCGGTGGGACCGCAAAACGCGAGGTAAGTTTAAAGTTCCCCCCCCCCCACTTTTACGCCGACCATGATACCCGATTGAATAAAAGCCGTACTAGAATCATTTCGCTCTGGAAATTTTCCCAGTCGACATTACCCACAAGGTCCAATAGAAATAGGCACGAACAAAGAAAAAGTTTTTATTCTCCAAATTAAGGCGCACCTTGATTGCGTTACCCATAATATCCCACGAAAACCGACACGAGCGAGAAAAATATGCTGCAATCGAGCTATATACGGCAGCCTCACGCCCACCGAGTACTGAAAACTTTTAACTGGCTCCCTATTAAGTCAAAAGCTTAATTCGGTCCGCAAGAGTCATTCAGTAAGTTTATGTCGTTAACAACAGCGGCGTAGTCGACTTCTATACGAACTTCTGATTGTTTTTTTTTCTCGGCGAACACAAAGCGACGGGATAATAATATTGAGTATGATGAACAAAAAAAAAAAAACAATGTTCTTCAAAACTTTTACTCGGTTAACAGGGGGAAAAAAGTAATTTGATTGAATTTAAATAAACTTTCAAATAAAAATAAATTCTCATGCGGCGAAACCTAATCTAGTACTGTAGTAACTATCGAACTGCGTTGTATTTGATAATGGTCTACAGGAAATAGATGCTTTTTTTTTGTTTGAACTGTACTCCTGACCGGCCCAGGATTTTTAGAGGTGCTGACACCGAACAAAAAATCTAGGCCAACCCGATGACGTCAGCGGCTGAAACGGTATTTTTTAGACTACAAAGTTGACAACTATGTATTATAGTCGGTTAAAAGAAAATTCAAAATCTAATACAAACTAGTCTTTTGTCGAATAAAATAATAGAAAGCTTTGGTGGTATCTGCGTTGTCCTGTTGCACACGTGTGAGGACCGTCGTAATCCTTATCCGGTCCTTTCATTCGTCTCTTTTTGTCACCACATTGTCACTATCCATTCCGCTCTGGTCCGTTTCTCGCTTGATCACACCCGCAATTATTTTTGTTTTTGAACTTATCGCTCTTTCTAATCTTTTTTTTACTGGGCTTTTTTCCTTTTTTTTTGTATTCCACGGTTGACTAATTAGATTGTCGGTAGTCGGTGATTCCGAGAAAATGGCAGATTGTTTTTTACACTGTACTCGAATTTCCCGGTAACGTTATTTATTTTTTTATCCGAATCAATACAAACGAGATAATACTTTGATCGCACTGCCACGGGCGATTGCCGATTTTGATTTGTACGTCGTTTAGCGGTAAATTCGTTACGAAGAAGCCAACACACCGACTAACCGCTTAGCTCGCCTGCAAAACAAAAGGCTCCGGTAAACTTTGCCGGTAGTGGCGGCTTGTAAACTTTTCTTTTAAACTTGTTGTTCCTGCGTAACCGGTAGGCCATTAGAAGTTATATGTACCCGTCTGATATGTAGCGGTCTGTTACGGAGAATGTCCGACGGCTGTTTTCTTGTAAACTTGACACGTGAGTCCCGTTTATACGCAGGCAATAGCTGTATATTATAGTTTGTACACTTTTTGACTTATTGTTGGCGCGATAACGCCCGGCAGTGGCGGATAACATTAGCTGGGAAGATTGCGAGGGAGTTACAAGTGTTTGTAAAAAAAAAAAAAAAAAGATTATGAAGGACGAAGGGGACGGGAAGGCGGTAAAAAGGTAATAACATTTATTATGGCCGGCCGTGTATAGTTATAAACGGATATTGCTATTGCTGTTGCATTTAGTCGCGATAACACCGTCTCGTTACGCGGTTAAAACGGTCGCACGAGCCAAATAATAATTTTTTTTTTGTTGTTTTCTTAAAGGGCCCGGCATAGCCTAAGACGGTTTTGGTCGCCGTTGATTGACATATTACACAGGATAAGACGATTAAAGTAGCTATAAGCGTTAACGCGGACCGCGGTGTTAACATGGCTAGTTTATAATATTATAGTGTGGACAATGACCATAATTATTATGGTGGGTAACGCGTGCAAACTAAATGGATACTATCAGTTAACGAAAAAATCGGTGCGGGCGGCGGTCGTTCGACGATGATAATCCGTTTTGCCGTTTGAATGTTGCTATAGCAGCGGTATTCTTGTTATTATTTAACGTGATTTACATCATAAATATTATTTATATTATATAATAATAATAATATGATTATAATATTCGTGTAACGGCCGTATTGTTGTTACATTATGCGCACACAATAGCGCCCGAGGCGAGTAATTCTTCTTCTCTGAATAAAACGAGAAATCCATAGCGACTAATAAGATTACTGGTGCAGCCCATAGACGGATATCCGAAACGTCTTGTTTCCTCCGGTCCGTTCTTCTTGTTCCTTTTTTTTCCCCGCCCTGCACTACCCGTCGCTCTCCGCTTTGCCGCCGTCGTTGGCTCCGGGTAATAAATCCGCTTAGAGCCGGTCGGTCGGTCCGTAATGAAAAACAAAGCTGCCGAAGACGATAACGATGACGCGGTGGAATGGTAGGAAAATGAAAGTCCCGTGCGCACGGAAAACTGGATTTTGGTTTTATACGTATTCGCTGAGGGGGAAGAATAAAAAAAAAAAATAATAATAATTGAGTATTTTTCCCGTCTTTTATTCCCCCCCCACACACACAATGAGATTTGGAGGAGATTATCGCCCGGGTTGTTTTTTATTTTATTTTTTCGTGTTCGCCAAAAGTATCGCAATATTACCTACAAAAAATGAAAACAAACTTTACACGAACACGTAGAATACAAGTCGTAAAACAAAAATGTAACCGGTACGTATTGTACCTAATAAGATGTATAAAATATACTCTCGTATACAGCCCAAGGTCAGCGTCAATCAAATCGTCCGCGATGAACGAAACCGTACTGAAATCTAGACGATGAAAACAACCCTCTTGAGCGCCGGTATAACCATCATTATACCGTCGCCCTTGCCGATTCAGCATTAACATTGAAACCTTAAATGCAACGCACCTCCCCTCGATACACTGGGAAATTTAATTATACCGAATATTGACTCACATTTACCTAACATACCTTGTCCAAACCGATTAATTGAAGCTGGAACAATCAGAAAGGTCTAATAGTAAATTACATACACAGCCTCGATGGTGTCGTCTTATGGTCTACGGAAATTCGTGTAACAAAATATTTTCTTTGGCAAATTTGTCTTAAAACTTATGTACAAAATTTTAATTTTTTTTTTGTCGATAAAAAATTGCCAAAGATTTTTTTCCGCGATTAAGAGCATAAATATTATACACTTTTCTCCCGACGAGGTTAGCGACGGAGACCTTTTTTATTTTTGAGATTAGGCTCAAACTCGATATCGTGCCAAATGTTCAACGATAGTAATTTGACAGCAGCATACAGAGGAGGGCTCAAACGATTTCTCCCAGAACGCCCCAGGTGTTTGCCCGGAGTTTGTGCCGCATTATCTGACTTACCCGAGTAAACTGTAATGCTATTGGCTAGCCATTTGATCGTGTGTTCACTATATAAAAAGTGACTACCTGTAGTTCGGATGGGGTGAAGCGATTTCCTATTGAATTACAAAACACATGCGAAATTGATCGTCACGACAATGCCAGCTAGGTATATAATTTAATTAACCAACAAACATATGGGTTTCTTTCTCTACGTTTTTTTTTTTCATTTGCACACATTTCTCCCACACACAAGAGTTCTTCATTATTTTTTTTCCACCGGCCATCCCCTCGGGAATGCGTTTGATTGACTTTCAGAAATTTGTTTACACGACAACATCCCTTTTTTTTTCCTCTTTAAACATTCAAACCGTTTACACAGACCCTCATTCGTGGAACGTTTCGATTAGGGCGCAGTCCTTTTGATGGCCATGCAAAGCACACTTTGGCGAGTAGTGCACACGACACGTATGTTCAATGAACACGGGTAAAGTATTGAGCGAGACAAATGTTCATTGAAATTTCATATTTCAATCAGAATTTCCCTAGAACATAATATTATAAAATGTCATCAACAGGGCAATATTGATATTCATAAGCCCTAGGCACTAGTTAGGGGCTTGTTTTCAGAACAGTTAAATAAAACGAAAAATTAGAAAGCGTTATATTATAAAAACAGTATGTTTAAATGTATTTTTTTAAAAACTCACCATGTACTGGACGTCTGTGAGTTAATGACATTTGTGCATTCCTAATTGGAATAAGTACTAGTAGTATAATATAGTATTAATCTAAGGTTTTAGCACAAAAACAATTACTATTATAATATAATGTTCTCAATGTCTTTTATAAAACAATTCCCAAAGCTGGCGTTGTGCTATTATTCAAACATATATTTTTACTGTGAACAAGGCCAGCAAGATAAAAAGTTGCTGGTAGGTCAATGAGCTGATGTGGTTGTATAATAAGTGATTAGTAAAACTACCCTATACCGACCGGTAATGTTATTGCATTGAAAATTATTGATTTAAACGTGGCCCGCAAACTTTAAAGTGGAAAACTCGAGTACACAAAGGTATCAATAAAGTGTTATTGAGAATCCATTACTAAATGAACGAGCGAGGTACTTCATGATGTGCCATCAAAGAAACAAATATAACCAATGATCTTTTGAATGTATATATAAACACGTCAAACTCACTGCAAAAGAATGATGACCGTGTAATTTTCCATTGGTTTTTAATTTAAGTTTGATATCGGCTAAGTGCTTCGATTGCTGAAACTGAGAAAGCCATTAGTTAATAGGTTCCGCTTTTCGAATTTAGTTTGCAGATACACATATATACATTCATTACACACACACACACACACACATACATATCTCTCGGTCTCTAAAACATGGTATCCCCTGGGTCCAACAAAACAGCATGTGCAACAGTACGGTTAAAGTTTTATCAAAAACACAACAAGGGGGAGATCCGTGCGCATGATACCCAAACAGCAGTTCTCTGAACAGAGTGCTTCATTTTTATCAGTCGTCAGATGCAACACAGCAGATACACCTTTGTGCGCGTTGCGTTTAACTC